TCCAAACTGAGCAAATGGAGAAGGGTCTTGGTTAGAGTGGTGATTAAGAAGCTGATGGTCACTCTAGAACTTACAGAAGGACAAACACTGCAACGCTACGCCGATCTAGGCTTTATGGCGGTGTGGCCAGACTCAATCCTCTTCTCAGTGAAGACACATGAAAACACACTTGGAATTTGCAAAACAGCACCTAAAGGACCCTCAGACTCTGAGAAACAAGATTATCTGGTCTGATGAACCTAAATTCCAAGCATCGTGTTTGAAGGAAACCATGGCACTGCTCATCACCTGCAGAGTACCATCCCAAAAGTAAAGTGTGCTGCTAGCAGCCTCATGCTGTGGGGCTGTTTTTCAGCTGCAGGGACTGAGGGACTCGTCAGAGTAGAAGAAAAGCTCAATGCATTAAAATATTGAGATAGCCTTAATGAAAACCTAATCCAGAGCTAACCTCAGACTGGGCAGAAGGTTCACCTTCCAACAGGACAATGACCCTAAGCACACAGCAAGAGCGTCTTATAGACAACTCTGTGAATGTCCTTGAGTGGCCCAGACAGAGCCTGAGCTTGAACCCAATCAAATATTTCTGGAGAAACCAGAAAATGTGCGTCAGTCCTCATCCAACCTGACAGAGCTTGAGAGGTGAAGAGGTGAGGACAAGAATGGCAGATGATTGCCAAATGCTGATGAGCAAAGCTTGTCGCATCAAACAAACAAAAAAAAAAAGACTTGAGGCTGTAAAGGTGCTTCAGCTAAATATTTAGTTAAGGGTATGAATACTTATGCAATGTACTTATTTCAGTTTTTTTATTTTTAAGAAATTTACGAAGTTGTGACAGTTCTGTTTTTGCTTTGTCAATATGGTGTATGGAGTGTAGATTGATGTGGGAAAAAAGTAATTTAAAGCAGTTTAACAGAAGGCAGCAACAAAACATGAAAAAAAATGAAGGGGTATGAATACTTTCGCAAGGCACTACACACACTTTTTTCTATCTTTCTCTAATGGTCAACCTTTAGAAAAAGTTGTCAATCTCAAGTCACAATAAATATTATCTGAGCTATTTCAATTTTCTAACCTTTTTCTATGAGATTTGAAAACAATTTGCAATTATAAAAATGTGGAACATACAGCTTTGTCTAAATACAGTTTAAAACCCTGATGTGTGTGATTCTGTAATTGTCTAACAATAAACAATAAATTGTAATGTTATAAATTACAATTAAAAGTTAAATTAAGGTTACTTGATCATTTTCTTATTTTTCTTTTTAACAATAACTTTAGGTTGAAGTTTAAGCTTGATGAATCCACTTTGTGTATATATATTAAAAAAGGGAATAATTGTCTTCCTGTCATGCTGAAAACCACCAAATATATTTCACATCTTTAAATGTCACAATTTTGAGGAATGTTGTAATGGAGGTTGCATACTAAATGTGGGACACAATGTTTCTGATAAACAAAATCTGTAAAAAAAAAAAATAAAATGTTTTTTACCTAACTGGATTGAAAATCATTTCTAAATATTATGAAACTGTTTTTGTTTTCACATTTGACGAGTTTAAAATGTGCTACTTTCATGGTAGGTTATTATTATTTTAGATAACAGTTTAAATCAAACATCTAATCTCACACAAAAATACCTTAGATTGTGTCTCTAATGGTTTAACACTTCCTATCCTCACAAAACAAGCTTCCAGTGTTCAGGCTCTGGAGCTGTAAAGTGTGACTGACCTTGCGAGCAGCAGCAACATCTGGGCTGTCTTCTGCACCGATGGAAAACGTCTGAATGGGATACAGGAGCTGCTCTTCTTTGGCCAGTTTCACTAGCGTAGCAGCAACCAGACTTGAATCGAGACCACCTGGAAAAAAAAAAACCATCACGGACAGGCTGAATGTGAGAAAATAACCCAGAGTAACTAAACCAGTAAACTGAAGCAATGAGCACAGACACCTGAGAGGAGGCAACCAATTCTTCTGTGAGCCATCAAGCGTTTCTTTACCGCACTTTCAAACAGGATCCTAATGTTGCTCTTGACCGTCTCCAGTTCAAAGCCTGATGAAAAGAAATTCATTTTCTGACAGTACAGTAAATGGTGTTTTTGTCATGCCTTATCTTTATTTAGTATATTAGAATTGGCAATAACTTAGTTTACATTTTGTGTAAATTATATATTACATTTATAGAATTTCGTGACGATACAATCAATCAAGAATGTGAGATTTGCTATATAGTCCTATTCGAGTATACTGTATGCATGCAGACATACTCATATTTCAAACTTATAAAGAGCTGGGCAAAAATATAGTTACATTTTGCAACATAAAAATCAGGCAGTTGAGATTTGCTATATAGTTTGTATTTTTATTTCATCATTTTATTTTATTTCTTATTTTATTCTACCACTATTTTAATTATTATTTATGGTTTTTCTTTTTTTTTTTTTTTTTAGCATTTTATTTATTTATTTTTTTTATTTTAGCAATTTATTTTATTTATTTTTACATTTCATTTTATTTTAAAAGATTCGAATCGGACACAGAACTGGAAATAAGAAATAAGAGTATTTTGAGTATTTATTCACTTAAAACCATGCCTCAATTGTCTGAATGTCATAACTTTTGTTTGACATTTTGTTTTGAGAAAAGCTCCTGCAGCAGATGACATTTAATGTTGATATATTTTATCTAATGCAATGACATTGACTCACATTTTAAGTGTCACACGAGTGTCTAAATACTTACTTAGGTTGCTGTATCGTTTAACAGCTCTTGTCATTAGTGCAGTGTGACAGGCTGTAATGTTGGTACAGCTCGACAGACTGAAGCATTAGCTCTGACACACAGACAGTCAGGTTTAGATCAGTGAAAGGAGCTCTAACATAAGTATTTAGACACTCAAACATGTTTACAGTTCTGTTCAAAATTTGTTGTGTTGTGGTGTAGTCACAAGCCTAATTACTATTTGGTGCAATAGGGTTAACAATGGGTATCTTTATTCCAGTTTATTAAAAAAAAATCTGTTTGTCATACAAAGCTATCAAACTGCTTAAAACATAACGAATAAGTATTATGAACTACGACTTTGCTGAATATGGCATCTACCTGTGCCAAGACCCTCCAGGATGTTATAGGCAGCGTGTTTGGGTTCTTCTGTGCAGCAGTGGAAGCGATCCATCTGAACAGACTCCACTTTTCCAGTGAGCTTCAAGTCAAACACCTCAAAGCAGCCCGGTAGGAAGGCAGTGATCTTTGCAGGAGTGGACATGGAGGTTTTGAGGTCTAGCAAACCTGTTTGGATTAAATCAAAGGTAAAACATAAGGCTGTTCAAATCATATTCTGCAATCCAGTGTGCTCAAAGTGATCAAAAACACCAATTAGTTATCCATGATTCATTATACCTTTGGCCTCAGAACAGACCGCTAGAAAGCCGTCGTCGGTGAGCAGTCTGAACAGCGGTCTCACGCCGTATGTGTCTCTGCCCAAGAGAACCTTCCTGTTAGCCGTGTCCAACAAGATGAAGGCAAATACGCCATCCAGCATGGAGGCCATCTTCTCGATTCCAAAGCGCTCGTACAGGTGCAGAAGGATCTCGCCGTCGACTTTAGTCTGATACTCAAACTCAAACTGGTTCTTCAGCTATAAAGATAAGGTTGGACAATAGATGTTATGGTAAACCATGAAGGGATATAAGAGATACCAGATATCAGCAGTACTGGGAAGTAACTGATTTAATGTAATCTGGATTATGTAATCAGATTTTCTTTTTTATTAAACTATATAAAGTTTTTTAAATATTCATAATCAGACTAGCTACTTTTTTATTGATTACATTATGACTTAATATTCACAAAATGCCAGTAAATGATTGATAATTCATAGATTCTTCTTTTTTGTCTTTTAAATTTTTCTTTCTGAAGAAGCCTCTTACTTGTATACGTTCAGAATCTCTTCAAGATCTGTAATTAATGTAATTATACAGAAAATTGAGAGGGCACACTCTCAACGGCATAAATAAGAGAAATATTTAATCTTTTTTTAGTGAGCTTTTTAATTTTATCATTTATTTATTTTACATTTTTAAGATTTAATTGATTATTAGCTTTTCATTAAGTTACGAACCTCCAGCAGTTCCTTCACGTTACCTTAGAATTTCCCAAACTGGGGTTTGTGATGTTTAATGCACTTCATGCTGTTGATAAAGAATGGAATACATTTTCTTTCTTTTTCCATTTTATATCAATATGCTACAACATAATGCTATTCAAATCAATGTGATTATCAAGTTAGGTCAAAAGTAATCTAAAAGTAATCAAAAAGTAGTCAGAGTATATTAAGTAATCTAAAAGTATGAATTATCATTATTAATCATCATGTAATTTGTGTTCGGTAAAGGACTACATTTTGTAAGTAATCTACCAAACACTGGATATCAGGCACATAAGTGGAAGAAACTTTTATGAATGGATATAATCAGAAAGAAAAATATCAAAAACTACTTACCCTGATGTGGTTGTAGATCTCACCGTTGTAACATAGCCAAAGATAGGGGAACTTCTTGACTCGCAGAGGCTGCATGCCATACAGCTGGTCCACGATAGCGAGGCGGTGAAACCCGAAGCAGCAGTTGGTGAAACCGTTGACATTCTCAAAGCGGAAAGCATCTGGGCCGCGATGAGCGATTTTCATGGCATTGGTGCACTGAACTGAAAGGCACTCATCACTACCAAACAAGGCCCATATACCACACATTCTGATGCTGCGGATTAATAAGAACATAAAATGTGTTACCAAAGTAATCATGTCCAGATATTTCCACACATGAATTCAAGACCACAAGAGTACCATGGTTTTTGTATATGTGCCATGGGAGTACTAACAATATTCTTTGATTTCATCTTTTAAGTTGAGCAAAAACTAAATAAGTCACTGTGGCTCCCGTCTGGAAGTGGTGCTTCAGTAGGAGCGCTACAGAGTGCAAAAATCTGGTTTCTGAACTAAAAATCCCATTAATTTTCTTTAACTTATAAACCAGTAAAGAGAGGTTGTTCATCGATTGTATATGCTTCTGCTGAAGCCATCAGCCAGCATTATTTCAACTTATTTTTTTTAGATAATTGTTTAACAGCAGAATTTCCAGTGAACTACATTACCCACGATTCTGCAGAGGATCTCCACCAATCAGAGAATATAAACAAGCAAATGGAGCCAAAAGAGCACTTTAGGACCCATCAATTCATATGAAGCACTGTAAATTATGTAGTCTTCCTACACTCTCAAACTAAATATTTGTGTACATTTATATATGCATATTTTTAAATAAACCTAAAATATATTGTTTTATATATATTAATCAAAAAGTTGTTATTATTTCTCTCTTTTTAAATTTGATTATTTGTTCAAGGGATTGCAGTTCTTTCCCTCAAAGTTATTAGCAGTCTTTTATCAATTTTACATGTATTTGTTGCTTCAAATTAAAGTTTGTAATGTGATTCACGTTGTAGCTGTTTGCTTTGGTTCTTAACAGCTCTTTCATGAAGACTTTCACTTCTGAACCAATTTGTTGAAAACGTGGGGGTGGGAACTATTGCGCTCTATTTACATTATACAGAGAATCTGATTGCTCATTGGACATTCAGTCCCTGTATTTTTGTCCCACCTTGATGATTGGGCGATCTCTCAAAGGGGCGGGGCCTTTCAACAAACTGCCAAACAGTGATTGACACACATGACTGGCAGCCATGTACCCACAGATAAGACACACCAATAATGCCAGCCTGTTTAGTTCAGTTTTAAGATCATAATCTATTTTTTTATTTATTCTTTTTTTTTTTTTAAAGGGGTCATATGATGCGATTTCAAGTGACCATTAAAGCATGTCAACACATTCTGTTACACCAAATAATGATCTTTAAAATAGCATCATATGACCCCTTTAATATTGCACTTTTTTTTTTTATATTAGAAAAATAAATTTCACAGTGCTTTGACAATTATTTTCAATTAAATCCACTGTTTGTACTATGAGAAGCGGCTTTTAGAAGCAGCATGGCACAAACTTAAAAAGAAAGAAATAAATAAATTAAAACTTTGCATATATTTTGCCACCAAGCCGTGTTGGGTAAGTTACTTTCAAAAAGTAATTAATTACTATTACTAATTACATCATCAATACTGTATTTAAATTACTTTACTAATTACTCTGTCTGAAAAGTAATTTAGTTACTCAATAAGTAACTTAATTATTCAAGTCGCTAATTAGGCTACATCTTAAAATCCCTATAAACCTTAAAGCATAGCAATAGAAATTAAACTCTTTAATTCTTTCAATTTGAGTCAAACATATAATAGTTTAGCCTTTTAGCTTTAAAACAACTGTAATACTTTATAAAAAAAAATTAACCTTCTTTGGTTAACAAATAGAAATACTCCGATAATCAGAGAACATTCATTTTCGATTTGAATTCGTTCATTTAAAAGTAGACACTTCGAGCTTTTAGATACAGGAGAGACTATACCTCGCTTTAGTTTCATACGGATTGCATAATCAGATAATATTCGTTTTCGAATTGAATTCGTTCATTTAAAAGTAGACACTTAAAGCTTTCAGATACGGGAAAGACTGTACAGTACCTCGCTTTAGTTTCATAATCAGATAATATTCGTTTTCGAATTTAAAAGTAGACACTTCAAGCTTTCTATAGACATGTTTCTCATGTCTCTGTGTGAAGTATTCACTGAGTTTGTGATGCTCAGAAAGTTGCTCACGGAGACCTAGACGGCAGAACGCACACCCTGTTTGTTTTGTTTATTTTACAAAAGCACAATGTTTTGTTGTTATTGTCAGTGTACACAAATAAAAGTAGGCCCTTTTTTAGATTCGATTGATTGTAGTCTTATCGGAGTATTTAAGGTTTCTCTGTGAATCAGGAAAAACTGAAAGTGAACGTGCCGGCGTGCAGAGGGTTAAAGACGCTGCATTCAATTTTATCTTTAGACTGTAAATTTTGATTTCAAATTCAATATTGATTTTAGAACTGTTGAAATTATTTACAGTTTGTAACACGTTACAGTATGTTACTTTATAAGTAACTGTAATTAAATTACTTAAAAATGAACAGTAATCCCTTACTTTACTTTTTCAGTGGATAAGTAATTTAATTACAGTAACGCGTTACTTAGTACCGCGTTACACCCAACACTGCCACCAAGTTACATTTAAGCTTCCTCCTTCTTAGGAAAAAGTAACAGCTGCCAAGGTTAGCTGCTAATGATTAACAGTAGCAGCTTGAGTGAATTAGTTGCATCAGCATGCGTGCTTAATATGGTCATAAAAGCTTATTTCCTGTAAATAATAGGTGCATTTATCCTGCAAAGAATAGGCTATCTGACTGGTAAAACCTGTCCTCGCATGGCTGGCTTGAACAGGAAAACAGCACAATCTTCGTAACCTTACAACATCACTGGACTTTTGTAAATGCAGCATATTGGTAATATATGTGACGCTGTTCGGTTATTACATTAAAGTACACTTATTGCAGCTGTAAAGCATATAGCAGGAAGAGCTGCTGTGATTTGAGATCTGGACAGATAGCCGACTGATGCATGTCTAATCACATATATGAGCATATTAAAAGCATAAACTAAAATCACACATAACTAGTAATACCTGTAAAAGATGCTTGATTTGGTCTATATTGGTTGAGATGGGAAAGCTGCCCGTTCTTCCTCAGCGAAGCTCGGCTGATGAAACACATGTGCGGCGTTTCTCGTTTCTTCCTACAAGCCGCAGACGCTGCTGATTGGTCGAACGTAACTTCTTCTTCTTCTTCTTTCAGGTTTAATGGCGGTTGGCAACTCATCTCAAAGGTGCATTACCGCCACCTACTAGACTGGAGTGTTTGGTCGAACGTAACGACGTTGCCAGAGCCATCGAAAGAGACGTTGCCATGACATTCAAGGTCATGTGACTGTTCAGCGTAGCGTGTAGAGATCCCGGTAGCGTTGGAAAGTGAATCATTTGGCTCATTTTAATGAACCGGTTCAAAAGAGCCGATTTAACGATTCCTTAGCGTTATCACTTTTAACTGACATTATGTCTATGACTTTTAAGACGTTTTAGTTTCATTTATATGCTAAAGTATTGTTAACTATTTATATCCCACCGCTGTATTAAATGAATACATAAATAACCTTTTCTGTCTTTCAATTTGTGACGCTTTGTGAACAGCAGTTTTTTTTATTATTATCATTTTTTTTTTTCAATAATTGGCCCACTCTTTCGAAACCCTTCACAGTTCTCACAGATCTTCTTCCCAACTTTCAGCTCGGCACAACAGTAAATTTCGCATCCAAAAATGCATTAAAACTACTTCACTTTATATACAATCAACTTATTCTTTTCATAACACTAGCAAAGTTCGTCACCCAACAAGCACACTTTGTTACTCATAAAAAATGACCTAAAAACATTAAACCATGTTTTCTTTTCTTTGCAAAAGAACAACTTTCTACTGTTATCTACTGTTACACGGGCCACTCACATGTACAAATATATTCCTATTATTATTATTATTCACAGTACAAAATGATTCCCCTTTTGTATGGATGGTAATAAAATGAAATGTGTATGTGTTCAGCTACATCAAATTGTTTTGATAGCATAATTTTGTAATTTAATATTTTTTAGACTTGGAACATATTTAAATATAACTGTAGAAAATGTAGATTTCTGTCTTGTTCAGTTTTGCATAATGGTAGGTTTTGATCTGGAGTTGAACAGTTTTGAAATTAGTATTTAAATGTGTAAATTGGCCTCTAGTTTTGGTGGTTGTTGTGACTGAGACATTGAACGTCTTTTGGACCAAAGCAATTTTGCATTTCACACACAGTATGAAGCTTTTAAAAACTGACTAAAGTATAGAGAAACTGGTCCTAGTGGTTCACTGGTCAAACAGACCATTTCCTTACGCAGGGAAAATGTATTCGGTGTGATCATGTTGAGTTATTGGAATTATTTCTTTTAACCAATACAACATGAATGAATGCTTGATTAAGGGATTTCTTGTATCTTATGTAATTTAAGTTGCTAAACTGTTCTATCTGACTTTCTACAAAGATGATCAGTTGACCAATAACAAGCTTTGATCAGTAATGTAATGTAGTCACTTCATGATAGGCTACATTTGGAAATTTATTACAAATAGACAATCATTAGCATAACACAACTGTCCATGGACATTTAAGTATAAAAGTAAATGGTCCATGACAAACAATGTTTGTTGTGGCGATTGTTTGGCTGAGGAGTGCAGCACTGAATGCTACATAATAACCCAGAGTCATTTACACTGGTTACGTGAATTCATTACATATTCATTGTCAACATGTGCCAAACACCAAGTTGTAGACCTTAATAAGATAGATCAGTGATAAATAGCAACAGTGAAAGTAGTGCAAATAGATCTCAAGCACTGGAAGAAAAGACTGAGGGCAAAACAATTATAAAGCTGTAAAACTATGTACAAGTAGGAGTAAAAATCATAGAAACGTTTCAACTAATGTTCCGACATTTTTCGAACATGCTTTCCCATTTATAAGAAACAGTGTCAGACTTCCTGGAGAGGCACTTCAGGAAAAAAACTAGTTCTTTAAAACCAAAGCTTCTGTTTGTTATAAAACTAGCTGCCATTAGACTGCCTACTAAAATAACAGTTGGCTTCGTTGGACTGATTGAATAAGTTGCAGATAAAGTGACCGTGAAATGTTTGTGTTAGCACTCCCAGGTGTTTGCATCTGAAAGCAGGCAGCACTGCTGATGTTGGAGAACCCTGGTCTTGATTGGTACTTCTTGAAGTCAATACGATAGTCTCTTTTACTGCTCAGATTGAGGTTCAAAGTAATCTTCTGTCCTAAATACACTGGGAAGCTCTTGATGTTTTTGTGATTGCCTTCTCGGGCTAGCAGGTTTCTGTAGAAAAAAAAAAAAAAGTAAACATTTGTTACCAGTTGTATAATTTTAAAGCATGCCAAATAATATGGCAGGCATGTATGTATATATAAAGAGCTCACATTTAAAAAACCTGGTACAGCCATTGTGCGGAAGAACTTTTTGAAGGTGCCTGGTAGGGTCCCAACTTCACCTTCGACTTGAGTTACTTGTTCCTCCATTGCACTGACATTGGCTCCAACAATTTTGACAAAGGCCTTAGAATTAGACAGTACACTTGAAACAACAACAAAAAACATGTCCATTCATCAGCATGGTTTAATGATAGCATTTAAAGGGGTCATATGATGCTGCTAAAAAGAACATTATTTTGTGTGTTTGGTGTAATGAAATGTGTTTATGCGGTTTAAGGTTAAAAAAACACATTATTTTCCACATACTGTACATTATTGTTTCTCCTCTATGCCCCGCCTTTCTGAAACGTGTTGATTTTTACAAAGCTCATCGGTCTGAAAAGCAAGGTGTGCTGTGATTGGCCAGCTATCCAGTGCGTTGTGATTGGCCTAATACCTCAAGCGTGTGACGGAAATGTTATTTCCCTCACCATACTGTTGATGCCGTGTCCCAGTGCGACGAGACAAAAACATGAAAACCCATTATAAACGAGGCATATGCATCCAGTGGGGACATAATTATGGATTATTTTAGGATGGCGTGGCTGACTCTGAACTTTTATAAAGAATATCTCTTTGGATTTGAGACTTTAGTCTTTGCAACTTTACAGATCTTCTTTATGCACCAAGAGCTTGTAACACCTGAGAAAGGAAAAATTTAAATTGCATCATATGACCCCTTTAAAGTTATTATTACCTCCAATTTGTCGATTTTTCGGTAAATCTCTCTCATCTCTTCAGATTTTCTTTGTATCTGTGGTAGGTTCTCATTGACCACCTGTGAGGTGTCATTTCGAATCTATAAACAAAATAAATAAATAAATATTAACAACGCCTTTGGTCACAGTGGTTATTAAAGCTGGGGTTTAAGGGGGCAACAGCAGGCTTCTAGGGGGTCTGAAGAAACTTTGAGGGAAAGTAGTTATGGCAGTCACACTGCTGTGGAAGAAACTTTATAGTGGAATCAAATTTGAATTGTATTTATTTTTGTTTGTTTATATATCTGCCATTATTCTACTAATGGATTTGGATACTTCATTCAAAGGCCAGTATTTTCTAGAATCTAGATAATATTTTAAGCATTTGCTTTAGTTCAGTACAGTAACAATATACAGTACAAGCAAAGATTTAATAATCTTGTACCATACTGATATAAAACTACAAAGAGAAAGAAAATATATTCCAATCGTTGCGATTAACAACATGAAATGCATTAAATTTTACATCTCATTTTCCTAAACTGGGCTTCGTGAAAGAACTGCAGAGAGTTTGGGAGTTTAATAAAAAGAAGAATTAGGGAGAATCAATAAATAATTAATAAAGTATTGCTATCGTGTGAATAATATGTAATCACATAATAAATAAAGCAACTGTAGTCTCATTACGAGTATTTTAAAATGTAATATAATCTAATTAGCCTATAAGTATTACATTTTTGTCATCTGGATTACGTAATCAGTTGCTACCCAGAACTTTGCTGCCTATATATTTTAAGGCGGGGATCTTGACTCTTAAACTATGTTAGTATTTTTTATATACTACTATAGTATTTATTAACATTTTAAATTAGCTTTTACTTTCATATTTCCAGTTAATTTGAGTTTTTTCAATTTTGCAATGTGCTTTTTTTCTAAATAGACTTTTTTCTACTCGGTTGTAATTTTGCTTTATTTAGTTTTATTAAGCGCGTTGCTTCAACTTAAACCTATTTTATTTCAGTTAGCAACATTTACACCTGATTGAAACACATGATGAAAAATGATTTAAAAAAATGTTTTAGTTTTAGTTAACAAAATTGCTTAGTGGTTACATGCGGAATTGAAACATTTTCATGTCGTAAGTGGCTTTGCATTGAGTACTGTCTTCAGTAATTAGTTAAAACAACTTCAGAGAACGGCAGAAAAATCTTGATCTTACCATATCAAGCATACCAACAAACTCATCGACTCTTGTCAGCATTTCCTCCAGGCTTTTCTCCAAGCACAGGACCTGCAGAGCAAATACATGACAAACATCAAGAAAACACATGATATAATGCGATTTAAACATTTAGAAGGACAAACAGCTGGTTCACGTACTACTATACGTGTAGTAGACCACAAAGAATTCAAAAAGCAGTCGTGTGTCAGGAATTTAACTGAATTCAGTCAGCAGCACAAAGAACAAGTCAGTCTTTCTTTATCCCATATCACACTTAGCAAATTAGGCCTGATACAGTAACTACACTGTGCTTTGTGCTCCAACAAGACGAGTATACAGATGCGTGGAAGAGACTTTTAGTTAGTCATCAAAAAGTTCTCTCATTCTGACGGCACCCATTCACTGCAGAAAATCCACTGATGAGTAAGAGATGTAATGCTAAATTTCTCCAAATCTCATGTATTCTCCATCAGTGAAGGACATCTAGAGGCCTGCAGATGTCCTGTTCCCCTGAGTTTCTTTGTGACATGACCTGTTTTTGAGTGAGTTTTGTTAGAAAACCACTCCCAAGCAAAGTAACAGTGGTTTTAAATGTCTTAATATTGTTCTCCATTCAATTCTTAAAAAACCCGGGCTTATGTTCTTCAACAGAGCAGAAGTGCTAAACTCCCATGAACTGAAACAACTGACTTCAATTATCTCTTCATATGAACAGACAATGTTCAGGTTCACATACTTTCTCAAACAAACATGGCTTAAAAACAGAGATGTGGTATTATTTGCTTAACCTGATTCTCTTTATCTACATACAGGACTTTGATCAGGACTGTACTTCTACAATAAGCATTATAAAGTGTTATGTGAGGAATCTGATATTATACTCACTATATACTGAAAGCCAACATATCTAACGCACTTTAAATAAATATGGCTTATCCAAAGCTACTTACATGGCATTCAAGATACATAATTAATCAGTTTATACTTAACATAGACAAGCAGAATGATACAAATACTGAAACACTACCAACTAACTGTATGTTTACATTTTCAGACATGCCGATGCTTCAAGAAACCTACCTGCAAAGCTACAGTACTGTTAAAAGTTTTAGGCACTTGTGTAAAAATGCTGTAAAATGAGGATGCTGTCAAAAATAATGTCATAAATAGATTTTCTTTATCAATTAACTTATATTAACTCAATTAAATCAACATTTGTTGTGACCACACTTTGTGTTTAAAGCAGCTTTTGCCCTGGGTGCACTTGCGGATAGTTTTTCAGGTAGCTTTGCAGGCAGGTAATAACTGTCTTAAAACCATTTTGTAACTGGTGAAAATACTAGCGTTCTAATAATTTTGGCCACCACTACA